CTCGTTGGAGTCAGTTTTTGAAGTTTTTGTTGTTGTTGTTTTTGCAGAATGGCCACTTTTAAGTCTGTTATTGAGTGTCCAGGTAGATTGAAGTGCTCTCCTACTGGTTTTTGAATGTTACAATTCTTGATGTCTGATTTGTGTCCATTTATTCTTTTGCGTAGAGGCTATTCAGTTTGGCCAATGTACATGGCAGAGGGGCATTGCTGGCACATATCACATTGGTAGATGTGCAGGTGAACAAGCCCCTGATGGTGTGGCTGATCTGGTTAGGTCCTATGAATAGATATGCAGACAGAGTTGGCAACGGGGTTTGTTGCAGGGATTCCTGGGTTAGTGTTTCTGTTGTGTGGTTTGTAGTTGCTGATGAATATTTGCTTCCGGTTGGGAGTCTGTCTGTAAGCGAGGACTGGCTTGTCTCCCAAAGTCTGTGAAAATGAGGGATTGTCCTTTAGGATAGGTTGTAGATCCTTGATGATGTGCTGGAGAGGTTTTAGTTGGGGGCTATAGGTGATGGCTAGTGGCGTTCTGTTACTTTCTTTGTTGGGCTTGTCCTTTAGTAGGTGACTTCTGGGTACCCTTCTGGTTCTGTCAATCTGTTTCTTCATTTCCCCAGGTAGGTATTGTAGTTTTAAGAATGCTTGCTAGAGGTAGGTATTTGTCTCTGTTTGAGGGATTGTAGCAAATGCAGTTGTGTCTTAAGGCTTGGCTGTAGACAATGGATCGTGTGATGTGGTCTGGATGAAAACTGGAGGCATGAAGGTAAGTATAGTGGTCAGTAGGTATAGGGTGGTGTTTATGTGACCATGGCTTATTTGCACTGTTGAGTCCAGGAAGTGGATCTCAGGACTGTGGGTAAATACCATCATTTAGCTTTCAATAACTCCCTTTGGTCAGGAGTTTTCTAGGCATATATAGTATGCTGTCTGTGCCAAAGTACTCATTTTCCACTATGTAAAATTATCTCTTTGGTTGATTTAAGTCTAGTGCTCTTAAATTGTCTAAATGCATAGTTACATGATGCCCAGGTGCCATGCTGAATGAGTCACTATTATTTGTCAGATTAGACACATTTGTTGAAATTTCTAATGCATGTTTTAAGTGACAGACATTAACAGCTCCATCGGAGCATTTTGATTCATTGTGTTTCATAAGATATACTTCTCTGACCGCTTTTCCCCTCTTGCTTTGCTGTTAAATTAAAAAAAAAATGAAGACATTATTGTCATGTGACACAGGTAAATAATCCTGGGAGTCACTTTTTTCTAACATAAAACAAGGAATTTTATCTAAGAAAGGGAAGCAGTGTCATCCCTGAGGCTGCTTTTTCTCTCCTTCACTGTAGAGCTTCTGCCTAACCCTTTCCTTGCCGCTGGCTGCCTGGCTTCCTGCTAGTTTTTAAAGAAACAAGACAAAGATCCTCACAGCTCTCCCCCATTTTTCCTCTACAAATAGGTTTTAGTGGAAATTAATATTTAAATTTAATATTTAAAACTTGGATGATCAAATCCTAAAACTGTGGACCACTGTTTAAAAGCTTTAGGACTCTGCTCAACAGGATTTTCTCCTTTCACAAAGGCTGTGGTGTGAGTACCATTGCTGCCAGGGTCACTTTTCTTCACCCAGGCCTGTCAGGTAATGCTTTGGATCAGTGACCGAAGAAAATAAAAATGGGGAGGAGGAAGCTCAGCAATACTAGTGGTGTATATTGTCATGGGTATTGATGTCATGTGACACAAGGTGAAATTGCATCATCTTGTTTGATGGGACATAGTACAGAGAATAGAATGGGGATAAGGGAATAAATGTATCCAAGGGGAGTCCGTGTCCACAAGCAGGCTCATAGCCAGATGAGTGTGTCTGTACCTATCTGCTTGGACACACATACAGATTGTGGCTTAGGGGAACATCCTATGGGCTCCCATCCCCTTTGCTCTGTGCTCTTGGCTCCCCAGAGTGGGGGGGGGTGCAACTGGGAGTGGGGGGCTGTCAGAGTCACTCTCTTTCACTTGGATTGTGCTTAAGGGAGAGGAAGCCAATGGTAAGGTCTTCCTTGGTGGTACCAGGGAGGAAGAGCTAGAGGCAGCAACAAAAGGAGGAATGGATCTCCCCCTAGGAAAACAAGGCATGTAGGGGACTCCCATCTTGAAAAATTCTTAGTCTTCAGTTAGATGTGGGTGCTACTCCACCTACTGGTGGGAAGTTTTGAAGCTCCATAAACTCCTCATCCAGGCACAAACTCCTCCTGCTGCTCCCATTTCAGATCCTCTCTGCATTTCACCAAGCAGTGAAGAGGAAGGAAGAGAGGGGGGCTGAGGCGATCCCAAGGCCAGAAGAGGGAGGGGACAGACCTTTTCTTATGCTTTCAGCAGGGAAGGGCTTACACTCTCTTACTCCCTCCTTGCTTCAATCCCTGCTTAGCATCTCTAGCTGCTGGGCTGGTGATGAATCAAAGGCTTCTTTGAGGTCACTTGCAGAGCTCTTGGGAGGTTACTAGCTTAGCACCTTCATCTTGTTTATCTGGTGTCAACAGGCCTTCAGAGAAGAAAGAGGAGGAGTAGCGGGAGGGGGACAGTAGTGGAAGTGTCAGGAATAGGAAAGCAAGAGCTGGGTACTTCCACTTTTATCAATGGGGAGAGGAAAGTCAGGTGTCTGTGAGGGTGAGGGAGAGAGAATGGGAGACAGAGATTGGTGACTGTGGTGAGTTGTTTGGAGCTGGATACAGAAGAGGACTCAGGAAAAAGAAGGGAGGGAGGACCAGAGATGTGAATGAGGCTGCTAGGTATGGAGCCAGTATGGGGTGGGTAAAGATGTGTTCTGGGTGAGGGGTGGTCAGTGTTGGGAAAGCTGTCTCCAGAGTCAAGGGGAGACGAATTAATTGGGCTTGTGAAAAGGAGAGAGCTGTGTGTATGTGGAGCAGAAACAGATAAGGGAGGAGGGAAAGGTAGATATGGTGTGTGGAGGGCAGAGAACTTGGAGGAGGGAAGGGGGAGAAGTGAAACATAAAAGGGGAAGCTGAAGATGGGGTGTTAAATACTTTCCTATCACAATAATTACAGATGGATTAGTACAATTGAGGAACTCATGTCCATTCAGAAAAGGAAGCGTAAGTGCAGGGTAAATGATATCTGGAAATGTAGGAAGTGGTGGATTAGAGAATTCTAGATATCTTGTGCAATCTCAGTGGGGGTTTTATTGCAATAGCACACCAGTTATACAGGTCTTTCTATTCATACAAAGCACACACTCATAACCACTGCCATTCACAACTGACTTCTTCTTGGAAGATGACAAAGAATTTATTGTAAAGGGCTTTATAAAGTGATTATAACAGGTGAAGAACTTTGGCATTCCTTTTTCATTATGTCTTAGGCACTTCTGGGAATAGGAAAGATGTTGAGCTGCTTACATACCTGGCCAGTGCCATGCAATTTTCAGCCTGACAGGCTAGTTAGACTTCAGCTAAGCAACCGAGAATAATGCCTTCATTGTCAAGCTAGAAGGAAAAGCCTGCAGCTGCTATATGTGTAGGTAAATACATGGAAAATGGAGAAGATTATATGCACCATGAAAACTGCTAGTTTATGCACCCTACCATTTCTAGTACAGTCACATCAAACTGCACATGGCGTGAAGAAGTGCAGATTTCAATTTAGGTAATGTATATGCAGTTGGAGTGGAGCAGAGGACCATGACCATGACAATCTATCTCCTGTAGATTAATGTCTGGTGCAGGCAGGTTTGTCATAAACTATGGCTTAATATGGAGAACCTCTCAGTGTTTCTCTCATTTTCACTAATGCATTGTGCTTGCCTCTAAGAGATTCACAGTAGATGTAGGGCTATTGCTTTTAAATGTTGCCTCTGACCCAGATAATGTCAAAACGTCTGAATGCATGCGATGCTCTTTTTAAAAAGAGCATCCCTAATGTAATGCAAATGCACATTGTGGGGAAATTCCAGCTGAGAAAATGAAGCCTTATATTTCTAAAACCATATACATGTCAATAGCCCATTATTCTCCAGTTTTAAATGTAATTGCAGCCCAGCTTGGAATGAATTCCTGAAATAATAAAATACACTGAGTAGTAGTTACTAAGTCTTCCAGTTATTTTATGCTCCCAAGAAAAGGAAGAGGGATGGCGAGAGGAAAGGGGGTGGTGGGGAGGCAGAAGATAAAAGTGAAAGTCATATCCTTTTCTTTAACATGTTATTGGAACACTCTGTGAAAAAATATGCTGGGCTCCTAACAGGCATTACAACATCAGTGTATCTGAAGCATTTGTATAAACGTATCTCGGTCCAATTTTAATGACAAATTATTTCCAGACAAATTAAGAATATTTATAATTGTTTTCTTTGGTAGGAACTTCTATTTCCAAATTTCTTTTAAAGCTAATGTTTCCTATAAAGCCTGAGCAACTGTCATTTTGAAAGAATCCTTTCTTAATCATGTGAACTGCTGTTTGAAAGCACTTTTTTTTTAAATAAATTTAGCGTGTGTGTGTAGTACAGCCTTTATCACCAGGACTGGTACATTTTAAGTTATCATTATTTCATTGTGGATTCTTTTTTCCCCACTCGTCTGTCTTGGGAGAACTCCAAGAAACAGCTCCCATGATTAAAAACAATGTAGATTAATATTGTGGTGGTGCTGAGCTGCAGTATTTCTCTCTCCCCTCCCCCCTCATTTAGTATAAAAATCTATGCTGCTCAGTAAGTGAAACCTAGATGGTTCAATTTCTGAGTTGAACTGCTAGGGTGGAGACCATACAAATGGAGTTTCTGCAAAGGAAAATGTCAGCAGCCATTTAAAAAAGCAGATGGGAAGTTATTCAGTGAATTCCATAGTATGAAGATCTTTTGAATAGAAAACTCACTTTTAAAATAATGCTGTATGCATACTCTGGGGTTCAGTAATCCACAGGGCTGTAATTTAGCTTTTTCACTGGAGGTGGCTTTTTCTGAGCACGGGGTTATTGAAGTAGAAACCAACTTACCCCACTTTCAGCCAATGAAGGAGGTAACTGCTGACGCCATTCAGCATGCCTTGCTTTCCTTTGGTCTTTTTTGCTTCATTCAAGAGGAAGTGGGGTCTTCCAACCCTACTTACAGAGGTGCTGTTAATTACCTAGCTCCTTTTATCTTTATTTATGACCTAGCATAAGCATAAATTCCATCTCTTATCTGTTTCTCATCAAGCTAAATTTCTGTCACTGTTAGTAACCCTGAGGATAGTCAAAACTGTAAAATTAACTCCACTTCAGTCTTTGAAAGAAAACAAAAAAGATAAAAACAGTCTCCTCAGGTCTTAAAGCCTGTGGTAGTTGATTAGTCCCTGCAGTAGGGAAAATTAAATTTTGTGGTTGAGACCCAGCATGCTTAGATGGTTTAATAATGCTATGGCCATCATCCAATGGCTCACAACCAAGAACTGAGGTACTTTCTGTTCTTTACTCCTTCATGCAACACCTGAAAATCCTGGGGCGAATCAAACAGCAAATTAAAGCTCAAAAAACTCTCACCTGCAAAACATGTATAAGGAACTCATTTTAATGCTTTCAGGCTGAAATCACTGGGACAAGAGCCCAAAAAGAATGACAAAGGTATCTTGGTAAGTTGTTAAAGCTCCTTTTTCAATTCTTTGTTGCTCCAACTGTGCTTGTATTTTAGTTTGTTTATTTCTGTTTCCAGTCCATATACCAGCCAGCAAAAGCCAAGTAGCTCACTACAAGTAATCAAATCACACAAAACGTTTCAAAAAGCCAATTTGTGATTATGAATGAAGCCATAAATGAAGGCCTGTTGCTGCTCAAATATAATTGTATATGGAATTTCTTTCTGACAGCTGACCCCCCTCTAGCACTCTACATTGAAACTTGATTAGAGCTATTCTTAAGAATCAAGTACAAATATCGTGGTGATTTGCATTATCTTATATGATGGTGTGAGACAGTGTACCAGGTTGTCACTGTGAGTTACGATTTGTAGCCATTGTTTGCCACATGAAATATGGTTTTCAGTTACCAAAACCAGACGTGAAAATTGCAGTCTTTCTAAATCGAACTCAATATACTGTCCAGAAGATCATGAATATGACTTCAGTGGAGAGAGATGTTAAGACAGAAGGTTGGTTCTAGGTAGTAGATAGGGTTGTATGCCGGGGGGGGAAAGCAACAATTGTTCGGTTTGAAATAGAAATCCAGCTGTTAGAGAGGAATTATATTGCCATTCACAGTACCCGTGAGACAAATTTGAAAGTATCATTCGTATGCAGCACAGTATTCGAAATCTGTGGTGTCAACAGTTTGACTTTTTAAGAATATGCTTTGTTGTCTTGTAAGAAAACACAATCTAGGACACAAATAGGAGGATGTTCTTACTCAGGCAGTTTTATAATCCCCTTTCAATATAGGACACTTTTAAATGACTGTCCTGTCTTTTCTTTGAAAGAGTTTCCATGCTTTTTTAGAGATGGCACTGAACTCCAAATTTGACTATCCCTGCACTAGGTGGTGGGCCTTGAAACCTCAACTCCTAAACTAATTTTCCAAAATGTCCAACTTCTTATCTTTATAATGGGGCTGAACCAAAACTCTGAATCTCGGCACTCCCCAGCTTTGAAGTGTTCAGAATCCTGGTCTGGATATGCATTTTGTGGCTTTCTACCTATTTGTGTACTTATATGGCCCCCATCACTGCTCAATGCTTTACTTTCTTCACTGGCTTTATCCTTACAACATTTCTATGAGGTAGCAAGGTACTATCATGGCAATTATATGGCAGGGAAACTGAGGCATGGGGAGACTAAGTGACTTGCCCAAGGTTGAACAAGAAATCTGTGGCAAAGCTTGGAACAGGTCTCCTGAATCCCAGTCCGGTACCTTAACTACAAGACCATCTTTCCTTCCCTTTGCTAATGTTTGCGTAGTCTTTTCAGTTTAATCTCCTTAGCTTAATATTGAAACCACTATCTAAGCAAGCAGGAAGTGTTCAATCTTCTTGAGGTATGTTTTGTCCAGTTTAGGCAATGTTTTCTTAATTTACCCAGTCTCTTTTTTCTCATCTAGTTTTGGACCTGATGGAAACCTCAGTTTTCCTGACAGCCAGAACAGCTGATGTTAAATACACACTCAAAGGCAATTGTTAGTGCAGTCATTCTTCAAACTCTCAGACCTATTGTAATGTGTTTTCAAAAGGGCAATTTGCATTCAGCCTAGAATGATGTCCAGTACATGCCTGCAACTTAACATGTGCCTGTTATGAATGAAGTATATACAGAGCCTCTTAAAATTCACCCAACATAATTAGATACACTCTGGTTCATCTAAATGTTATCCAAAGGCTAAGTATCTGAAGCTTTAATTGAAAAAGCTCATTAACTTTAAATACAGATAAAGTTGTTGGTAGGGTGAGGTTGGGGGGAAATCTTGGTGGAAATAGTAGATTGTCCATGAAGACCAAAAATAAGTGTTTGAGTCTAAACCTATTAATCTTAAAGTTGACTGCATATTTATGCTACTTCTGAAATGAGTCTGAGTATTTAATTAAAAAAGGGAAACTTGTGCATGCATGTTAACTGAATTCTACTAATTGGGTGCATGTTGAGCAAACATTAAGTACTTAAAAGTAAAGGAGTCCAAAATAAAGCAGTTGTATGATATAAGAACACAGTGGATAGGTCTATGGTCAGATCTATCTCCTAATTCTGTATGATGACATGTTCACATATGGTGTAGTAAATAATAGCCCCTGTTGTTGTAGGTCCTACTGACAGATAACATACCATTGCATGAAGGTGCATAATGGATATGAAAGTCATTATTGTGACCAATGGGAGTCAATATTGGGGGTTAAGTAATGCAGAAGGCAATAAGTATTCTAGGGCTAGATCCACAAAGGGTCTTAGGTGCCTTGCCACCCAGTAGAATCCACAGCCCTTAGTTAGGCACTTAGGCTCCCTATATAATATATGAGAGACTTAAGTGCCTAAGAATGGGATCCAAAAAAGCCAACATGCTGAGTGGGGAACTAGCTATGCTAATCAATAGCAGATGAGGCGGAGGAGAGGGGTGTGGCCTAACTCCTGCCTTTCTCAGGGAGTTAGGCAACTCTCTCCACGCTGAATTTAGATTCCGATGTCTGTTTGGGATTCTGAGCTATCAACCCTCACCTAGAGATAGGTGCCCAAACTGTGTAGGTGTGTGTGTTTTTACAAGAAATGCTTGGTGGGGAGGGAAAGGAGTCCTCTCTGAAACATTTACTTGCATGGTACAGCACCCAGCCAGGAGATAGGAGACCCAAGATCAATCCTTCCCTCTACCTGATGTGTAGAGGGGATTTGAACTTGGGTGTCTCACCTCTCTGGTGATTGTCCTGCCACAGGACTATGGGATCCCTTGAGGTGGATCTCTCTATATCTCTCCTGTTGAATTGTTGTGTTATAAATTAAATATGAATTAGACCAGAGCGAGAGAGAGTGACTCTACAGTTCAGTAGTTGGGGGCACTTGCCTAAGAGGTTGTAAACCTAAATTGAAATCCCCTCTTAACATCAGGCATCTGAGGGTGGGAATTAAACCCAAGTGTCCCACAGCCTGGGTGAGTTCCATAAGCACTAGGCTAAAGGTTATAAAGGAAGGCTATTGTGTGCTCTCTGGCTGTTTTGTTTGAGTTTAGGTGTGCTCAGAACATACCTACTGAATCAGGCCCGCAGGCAAGATAGATGGGGCAACACCTAGTTTGAGGATCATGCTGGCACTTAAGCATCAGATGCCTAGACTGAAATGGCTGCTCGCATACTCACTGGCAGAAACGTAGGCACCTAGGGAACTTTAATGCTAGAAACTTGGGTACCTAAGGATTTTAGCTGCCTATGGGGTTAGGTGGCAGCTGAGCAGGCGGTTTGAGGATCTCAGTGGTGCCTAAACATTGGACTTATGCACCTCAGACCATTAGTGGACTTAGCCCCCAATTCCTAAAGGGACACACCAAATACAGGACAACACATAGAGCTACCATATAACTAACCTGTGCTACAGTATGGTTAGTGCTAGCCAGTTCTGTTAGTTGACTTTCAGAAATATTACCCTCTCCACTACAATGAAATGCTTTAAAAAAACAAAATATTTTAACATGTTTCTGTGTATGTGTGCGCATGCGTCTGTGTGTGTTACAGATGTAACAAGGAAATAAATATGTAACTAAATTATAGTGGAGCACTAGCTGTGCTATAGTTAATGTTCAGACCAGCTTATACTAAAGTACTAACTGAGTGCTTTTGCTGGAAACTCTGAGATCCCTCTTCTTCGCCTCCCCAAGTCTCTCAGGGCAAAGTGGAGATGAGCATTAACCCACACTTTTACAGACATGATTGTAGAGAAGGAAGGCAGGCACTCCACACCCTAGGACCTCTCTCTCCTCAGATTTTTTGAATGCAGTTGAGGAGATAGAAGTAGTTGCTTACTGACACTATGTGCCCCACGGGAGTCAGATTGGGAGCACATGCAGTACAGATGAAATGTGGCAAAAATTAAGGGACAAGTCTGCAGTTCTACTGGGCATGTGCATATATGGCTTCTATCTCTGCCAAATCTGGATGGGAATTTCACGAGAACAAAAGGTACCTTTCAGATCTGAAGACTATCCCTCTGCAAAACTTCAAATCCCTGAGCCATTTCAGCTGTTCAAAAAATAGTTTATTAACATTGCCAAAATGATCAATTTTTCACTAGTTTCAGATGGCTTCCATGAGTTTTGTGAGAACAGGGAATGTAGAAAAAAGCTGCAGATCAATAAAATTCTCACTCCTTTAAATATACAGTCACTCCCATTGAAACAAAACAGAACAAATAAAATACCTCCAAAAGCTAGCCATCAGAAATAGATTTCAGATACATGCTAGAAGCTGACCTGTAACTGTAATATATTGTACTGATTCTATTACAAAACGAAGTGTAGTTTCTAAGAAGTCCTCAACATTAACCAGCTTTTCTTAAGCTTTTTTTTTTTTTTGGTTTTCTTAGTAAATCAAAGCTAATAGAACAACAAAATTTCTAGCTGTGACTCTCTGAAGCAACAAATGAAAAGTGCTGCTACCTCTTGTCAGTTTACTGCAAGTCTCACAATATTTGACATTTTACTTAAAGATCCAGCTCCTGAAGACAAGTCGGTTTCATCAGAATCTCAGCTTTTCTTTTTTCTTTTCTTTTTTTGAACATTTCTAGCCCATCTGGTTGCAGAGATAAAACTTGAAAATGTGATATGAGAGCATGCTAAAGTCTCAAAAAAGAAGTATAATAAATAGGATTTTTAAGTTCTGAGATTTTTTTTTTAATCTCATGATTTTGGAGGGCCTGATTCATGATTTATGAATGTTTAGGGTT